TATGATTATGATTATTTCCTTACCATTATTTTCAAATGTGGAATTTCGAGGTCAGAAAACACGAACAGTTTAGGATTGTTGATGTACGTCTGAGTACCAAATATTTTTTCCTAAATGGTTGTTCTGTTTTATATGCTCATAATGAGCAAGAGTGTGTTTCACCACACCTTCCCTAGAGATGGCTATTCTTGTTCAGAACAAATTCTCCTTGAAAAATAGTATCTCACTCTTTATTTTATATCTTTTTTTGATTTGTGATTGAATGTCTTTTATGTGGTTGTTAAGCTGTTGTTGTATTTCCTTGGTCATGAATTGCTTCTTTGTGTACTTTGCCCATTCAACCATTTGTGTCATACCGTTTTTCTTAACATATTGTGACTTTTTATATATTAATCCTTGATCTGTTGTGTTTGTTGCAGGTATCTTTTCTCAGATTGGTGTTTGTCATTACAGTGTTCTTTTTTACATGTAAAAATAATCTACAGTTTTAGTACTCAAATCTGTCACTTATTTTCTTTGTGTTTTGATTTCCTTTTTTCCCTTTTTTTTTTTTTTTGCGTCCCAGCTTAGAAAGTCCTTCTCCAGAGATGTCATAAAACTTCATTTCAGTTTTTGCTTTAAAAACTGTGGTTTAGTTAATTTATATTTAACTCCTTAATGATATTTGGAATATTATTTTGATGTGAAAAAAAGGTCTAAATTTGATTTTTATCCAGGTAGCTAACAATTAATTGTTCTAACATGGTTTTTATAGATAGAACTTTCATTATTCATTGCTTGTTAGCTTGCTTTACCATATATTAAATTCTTATACCAAAAAAAACCAAAGTCACTGCCATGGAGTCGGATCCGACTCATAGCGACCCCTCCTTGGGTTTCCGAGGAGGTATCTCTACGGAAGTAGATTGCCCAGTGTTCCTTCTGAGGAGTGGCTGTTGGGTTTGAACCGCCAGCCTTCTGGTTAGCAGTCAAATGCCTTAAGCACTACGCCACCAGAGCTCTTTTGAATTCTTATATATAACAACTATTTTCTCTGGACTATCTATTTGGCTCAGGTGATCCATTTATTCTTGTACCACTAATACTATAGTGCAATAATGTTTTCATACATTTAAAAAATTATTTGTTATTCTTGCTTATTTGGAGCTTTGTTAT